TAATCCTTATTTTCAAATTTTATTATCTATAATTATTTTTTTAATATTTTTGCATTTTAAAAAAGTAAATCAGAGCTAAATGAATACAAAAATGCAGACAAATTTGCTTGCTTTAGCCTACAATCTAAGGGATATATTCTTTTTTTTTTTTTTTGTTTTTTTTTTTTTTTTTGTTTTTTTTTTTAATAAAATAAAGAAATATTACCGTCACCAATAATTTGTATATTCAAACTCCTGAAACTAATAATGCTACCACTACACAAATTATTAGATCTATATATTATTAAAACCTAGAAAAAGCTTAATAAAAGTAACATTAAATATTATTGCAAGGCGTGCGTTGAAGCACTAGGCAAGGATGAGGAAAAGAAATTTTTTTTTCTAAATAAAACCAATAGAATAATTTTGTATTTTAAAAAATGCATGCATTTTATGAACAAAATGACACCTGAGCAAAGAGAAAAAATGTTCGACCTATTTAAAGATAATTAAACAAAACGATCAAGTAAAATTAGGTTTATGTGAAATTGTAAAATATACAGTATAATTTGAAATTTAAATAATATATTTTATTTTTTTATTTTTTAGTTTTACTAGGTTCATCTTATGATGCTGCAACTACATCCTCTCAATCATCAACTAGAAAAGTTGTGCGATTCTCTTCATATAGGCTACTTGATAATTATATTATTAGGCTACTATCATACCAGAATAATGAAAAGTTTAAAATTCTTTTATTAAGATTAACAGTTTCTTGTGAGTAGACATTTAATTAGGTTAATAAACATGAAGCAAAAGAATTGTTTGAGTTTTTAAATTCTTACCTTAGGATTCTGGATCGTCAAACTCTTGGTAGACAAATTTTAGAGAAAGCAGTTTTTGAACATATATGAGGTATTTTGTGAAGATTTAATTAGCGGAACTCTCATATTCAATAGGTAGACAAATGTTAAGAATGAACAATTATTAGGAGTAATGATAATTACTTCAGAAGGAAGACCCTATATATGGAAGGCAGTAGACATTAGTTCAGAAGGAAAATCTTATGTTTTAGTAATGGAAAAAATCAATATAATGATTGATGAGTTAAAAAGCATGAATATAAAAGTCTTAGCAGTCGTAACTGATAGTGCTGCCCATATGCAATAGCTAGGTATTCTTTTTTTAATTATTTACAAAATTTAATCTTTACTTATTTATTTTCAACTAACATTAGGTAAAGGTTAAGACTCATTCACAGAGATATCATATTTCTTCCATGCTATGCTCATCAATTAAACTTGTATATTGGCGAAGTCTTTAAGGAATCCACTAACTTGAAGACTACAATAGATCAAGAAATTCAGTTAGCTACATATTTTAGAAATGCAAACAACAAATACTTTATCATGAAACTTCATGACTAACAAAAAACAACCTATGCCAAATACTATAGTATAGTATCTCTAGGAGAGACCTAGTAGAATAGTTATTATTTAGTTGTTTCTAGTTTTTTGTGAACTCAACAAGTATTACAAGTATACTGTATAAATAAAACGGGTTTGGGTCAATATCCTGAAAATAAAGTCATGTAAAATTTAATTGTCACTATACGAGATGCAATATTCAAAGCCTGCGATGATTAGTAATCATGATTACTAATCATTAGAGGACTTTGGATATTGCGTCTCGTACAGTGACAATTAAATTTTTGTGACTTCACTTTCAGAATATTGACCCAAACCTGAATAAAGTAAAGGTATTTAATTATAACAAACTTTTTTTTTATCTATTTTTATTTAGATTCTTGCGATTAATTATCAACTACCCCATGCCCAAAGTCATCGAAGAACTAGTGAAAACCTTATAATTCATTGTGAAATTCTTGAAATTATTAACTCAGATTCATTTTGGTCGAATTTAATTATTATTACTGAAATCCTATATCCTTATTGTAAAATATTAAATATTTTACAATGTAATAATACTAGATTAGTACAAGTTATACATAGTCTCATATATTTAGTTCAATTTTGGAATAACTATACTAACTTACAACTTGCTAAAAAGCTTTTATATAGATTAAATAAAAGATGAAATAATTAGGAACAACCTCTTTTAATTTTGTCATGTTTATTATATCCTAAGTATCGATTAATATATTTTAAGAATAACTCAATTATTAATTATACAAAATTAGGAAGGTATCTTATTTACTACTACAGAGCTTGGTCAGAGAAAGAACCTGATTGTATTTTAAGAGAATTTAATAATTTTTCTATGAGAATTTATATATTTGACGATAATACTTACAACCAATTTGGCAATATTTTGAGGTATTAGACTTTTGCAGGAGCTTCAACTAATGAATTGGAATTAGTGGCTTGCAGATTATATAGGATTTGTATCAATTCTGCTGCAGTCAAATGTCTTTGGAGTTATATGAGTTTTTTATAAATGGATCAGAGAAATCGACTAATTATAAATATATATATATATTTTTTAATTGTTTTAAAATAATTGCTACTAGCCAATTTTGGTAAGTTTGTTTTCTCTTTATTTTTTTACCCAATTGATGAGACTTAATCATTAAAAATTATTCTAGTTCAGTTCAGTACTCTTGTTTTAGGCTACACAAAGTTGATTTTTCAGTTTGCATTACATGGAATCAAAAAATTGGGTCAGTTAGTCGATTTTTTTTTTTAATTTTTATATATATATATATTTTTTATTAAATGTTAAAGTTGTCAAAGGAAAACCAGACCTCGGGCTTACAATTTTATTTGTTGCTAACATGTTTTTAGTTCAGTAAATTATAGATTTTAAAAGCCTGAAGTCTGATTTTCCTTTGGAATCCTATCGGATAATTTTGGAAAATTATAGTTACTATCAGGTAACACCAGATAACAAACATTGAAAAATAAAATAGCAAAAATAGAATAATTAGCATAATTAGGACTCGAATAAAAAAAAAATAGAGATTTTGAAAAATTTGGATCAGCTGGTAATACAAAATGAAAAACCAACTTTGTGTAGCTTTAAAAAGATGTAGATTGATTAAAGTATTTCGTCTTATATAATCTCTTTTTAATAATTTATAGTTTGAATTTTATTAATATTTGTTTTATTTATTCTAATTTGATAATTAAATTAATTTAACTCATTCAAGATATTTTAAAAATAGCTCAAATTTAAAAGTTTTTACCTAATTAAAATTTATATTTTAGTCATCGAAAACACTCGATATAAGTAAATTGAAAGCAGCTATTACCTAGAAAAATTCATGCAAATTAGACTCTGTTGAATTATTTCTGCCTAGTTTTTTAAAAGATGATATTAATTATCAAACAAGCATTAATAGTGAACATATTGGAGAGCTCGATGAAATTGATTCAGAATCTGAAGAATTTGTGAATTTTACCTCGAATAAAAATGATGAGTTTCAGGATTCAAATTCTTTAGAAGAGTTTGGCCAATTTTTAGATGTATGAGTAGAGATATTAGTGAGAGAAATTGAAGAATTTATGAATATTGATGATGAGGATAATGAGGTGCTTTCTTCGTTAATTAAGGATATTGTTCATCTATCATTAGATCCTAATTCAAAATAGGATTTAAATTATCTGTTTAATGAGTTAAAATTACTGTCTTAATTTAGAGATCTGAACTGAATTAATTAGTCATTAAATATTTTTTTCATATAAATAAAAAATTATAACTTTTTTTTATTCATAATAAAATCATGATTTTTTTACAGGTCTTATATAATAGGTCTTGAATTATCTAGAATTTATTCATTCTAGAGTTGAAGATTTATCAGATAACTATTATATACTAGCAATTGATATTTGTGAATTAGACATGATTATGTTAACTAATACTTTCTATTTGTTATTAATCATTCATTATATAGTATGAATTTGCTCCTAGTTGCACCGAATATTATGCATTATTTAGAGAATTTAATTGTATTATACATAAAAGAAGAAATAAAAATATAACTACATAGTTTAATATGAGGATAAGGTAATGGTATTTTATGCTGAAGCATATATTTTGGTTAAGTATCTATATTTATTAATTATTCAGGTATATTTTTTAAATTCTTATATAACCCTAGTTTTTTTCTCAGATTGAACTTAATAGTTAAAGACTGAATAGTTATTAATATTGAAATGAAATAGGAAATGAACGTAAAGAATTTATTTATTATAAAGAATTCGCTGATATAGTCTGTATTAATATATTAAATAGCCTTGAAGATTGTTATTAGAATAGGACCAGAGTTAAAAAATTAAAAGTTTGTTATTATTAAAAAAATCTAGTGACTGCTTTGATTCATTGTTCTTGTGGTACTGCTTATTTTGGTTATAGTGATACTACATTTATAAAACCAACTCTATGTAACAATCATAATAAATATCTGTCTAAACGTAGTTATTCAATTAGATTTTAATATATTTTAGTTGGAATCTTCGAAATGAACTATATTATTTTTCAACTTCTACTCAGTAAGTCTCATATTATTAACATACAATTTGCATAATTTATTACTCATTATATTATACTATGATGAACACTGACTTATATTAATTATATATGACTTTATATTTATGAAGAGATAAGACGTGGTCTAAGAAACTACAGAATTTTCATAATTTATCTTAGATTAATTATTTATTTATGTCTCCAAGTAGTTCTTCGCATATCATTTGGTAAATTTTTCATAATGTAACTTCTGTACATTAATTTTATAATTTTTGTTAATATTTTTTTTTATATTAGACATCCTTAATTCATATGTACTAAATATATTTATTCGAATTAACTAACAAGCTATAAGTTATTCTTTATTATACATTAATTTAGATTAATAAATTTAGTTCAAGTATATAGATATACTTAATATAGTTTAAAATAGTTAATTAGTATATAATATAATGTAATTACCAATTTAAATTTATAGCAAGCTATTTAAAATTAAATATATCTTAGAGCAAATTTAAAGTGTATTATTTTAAATATAGCTTGTATTGAATTTAAAGGTATTATTTTCTAGATCTAAAATTTCTAGTGGGTAATAGTTATATTTGATATTAAAAATTGAACTGTTAATTCTGTATTTAGTCTACAAAATAATATTATAACGTGATAATTTTTTTTCAAATTAACATAAAGCCATACAAAATTATATGGGTTTTTGCTTTGAAAATAACCTTACAAGACTATGTTCAAATAGATTTGATTAGTTTCTATTTTTAGACTATGTCTAAATATTTGCCTATCTTTGGACATGAACTAGTTTAGTTTTAGTTCATGTCTATATATCATTACTATCTTTATGTCTATTAGATATGGCAAATATTGGACAATGTCCAGTGCATTAGATTAGCCAATCAGGAGTATTTATTTACAGACAATATTCAATGTCTGCTCTATCTTTAAACATAGACACAGATGTCTGATCCATGTTCATATCTATATCTGGTCTATGTCTATGTGACAACACTGGCTAAAGCTAAACAAATAGTAAGACTTTTTGATAATACAATTAGAAAAAAGATAGTCTCTACAAGCTAGGGTTGAAGATATAGAAAATTTTTTGGGTATGCATAGGAGAGCATGCCTTTGTCGAGGATATGCTTCTCTGTGTTCTAGATATGCCTTCTCGAGATATCATAATTAATTAATCTAACTTATATCAAATCAACTATGATAAATGATCAATGAAACTTTATACACAAGATTTTTCTATATAAAAAAGTAGGGGCATGTCTTTTAGCCAAAGGGTATACTTTAGGCATGCCTCCTTGGATATGCCTCTGAGGCATGCCTTGAGACACTATGTCTCTAACTCTACTACAAGCCAAGTATTATATATAAACAATACTTGTCTAATGCCAAAGTTAGAATATATATTGCAAAGCATTTTTTTAACTAAAGATGAATATAAAAAGATTTAGCAACTATATGTAATAATAGCTAAAAACAAAATAGGTTTTACAAGAATAGCTTCAAACTTTATAATGTCTCATAGTAGAATGCTTAATATGCAAATACTATAGAATATACTCAAAACTAAATAAATACTAAGCCTTATTAATAGACTAAATAAAAACTATAAGGTCAAAAATATAACAGAAGTAAAAATAAAACAGAGATAGCAAATTACCTGCTGTACAAATAGTATTTGATCAGAAAAGCTAGAAGACAATGAAGAAAATTACTCAAAAACAATTTAGCTAGCCTAATTATTTAGAATAATCTAAATTTAGGTTTAGAGATAATAGCTAATAAAAAAGAATAGGTAGATAAATTCAATAGAATACTAATTAAAAGTCTAATAGGAAAGAAAATTCTTATTAGAGTAGCTAAAAGTTTTTGTGATCTCAATATACTATTGTTAGAACAAATTTTAGACCTAGAAGGGTCTCATTTAATAATATGATAACAACTCAAAAATGTCAGAAAGAAATCCAAGAAAGTAAAAAAACCATATAGTTTAAAGAAATTAAAGAATAAGTATTTATATGCAAAGAAAAGAGAGAAGTTAAAGACGAATTCAAGACAAGTATAGAAAATACTTTATATATACAAAACTTACTCAAAGAAATTTCTTTAGATAAAAGAAGATATGAATAGGTTGTTTATGAAGATAGTCCTAGCAAAATCAGAAAGATAGAAAAAATATAAAAGAAAAAAGAAGAC